AGCAGCCTTTTAAATATGCACAGTAATAGCTTAACACATTACTTTATTACTTAGGTTTTTGTAACACACTGTGATATGTGGGTCTGAGTCGGTGGTTTTGCAAAGGAAATCGTCTTTGTCCTTTTAAAGTTATTACATTAGTTACATTATTTACAGTTACATTATTGCATTTACCATAGCAGACACAAGAAGTGTACATATTTTCCAGATTTACCTTAGGAAATGTTTCAACCCAACACCAATAAGCCAGATGTCGTAAAAGGGTGTCTTAAAATGTCATTAGTTATATAAATATTAGGCCTTAAAAGCCATTTAATAGTCTTAAAGTTGAATTTGTCAGGTCTTAATTGCTAAAAACATTTGATCTAATTCAATTCATAATTTTTAACATCTTTTAATTTATTTGTTGTAATGTTAAAATGAGTAAAGCTCTTCAAATCAAATCAAATTTACTTTTATAGCACATTTAAAAACAACCAGAGTTGACCAAAACTGCTTTCCAAGTTAAAGTGAATGGCACACAAATAGTAGTTAAAATTTAAATAAAAATGACAACAGTTAATGGCAGTAGAAAATACAAAGCAACATTATATGTGCACAAATCTAAATCAGAATAAACCTGTGAATCTTGATTAAATACATAAAGATTACAATATACTAAAATACTAAAACCACTCAGAGCAACCAAAGGCCATTGATAACATGTACGTCTTTAGATTTGTCTTGAAAATGTCAGTAGAGGAAGGAACATTTGATTGAAAGCCAAAGGCGATTCCAGAGATTTGGAGCAGCCACCGTTCCCTTATCCACTAGTTTCAATTGTGGGACAGGTAAAAGACATTGTTCAGGAGATCTAAGAGGCCCAGAGCTGGAGTAGGGGTAGAGACGTTCAGCGATGTACAGGGGTGAAAGTCCATGTACAGCTTTAAAAACAAGTAAAAGAACCTTAAAATCAATCCTGTATTTAATAGGTAGTGTGTAGTGGTGTAATGCTGGCCCTTATTCTGGTGGGAAGTCTCGCTGCAGCATTCTGCACCAGCTGCAGGCGAGACAAAGATGGCACCCAGGTACGGAGTTGCTGTAGTCGTGCCTTGAGGAGATTAATGCGATGATTACGGACTTCGTGTCATTGAGAGAGAGGATGGACTTAAGCTTTGAAAGTTCTGCTTGAAAGTCCTCATTTCTGATGTTACTAATCTTACCACTGAACCTAATACTCTCTTTTTACTTTATATGTAAATTAACCTAACTTACCATATTACACTTCTGCTTGAATAAGAAAAAGATGATTTTCTCCAACATCAGTGTTAAATTTACCTTGAAAAGGTCCTTTATATTTTAGTGTCTGACACCTGTAGACATCTTGTGCAAGTGGGGAGAATTTGCTGCCTTCTTACACTGTCCCACATCCAGGATGGGCAGCAGGGCACACATACTAATGTCAGCCTGTATAAAATCTTATATAACCGGAGATGCTGCTGGATGTGTGGGAATAGCTCCAACACGCAATTTAGATGTTGCATTTGCAAATTAGGCAAACCACGGTGTCTTCAGCTCTCTAGTTAACACACAGACATGTGATTAATATTGAACTTTCTTCCAGGTGTGATATAATTTTCCAAGTGTGTATGTTAGGACTTTCTTCTTCTGCGTCATGCCGAGTTTATCCATTTGTTCAGCTGCAGCAAGATTATTTAAGTAAATTAATTAGGTTACATTTTTAACCCCTAGCCAAAAATATTTAGTAGGCAAATTAATACCTCGGGGCATATTTTTAATCAGTGGCTATTTTAATGGAGAGCTTTGGCTGAATGCAGTTGTGCAGAAATGTGTATTTAATGACATGCAGTGTTCTCAGTGACTGTTGGTGCATAAGCAGAGCAGCCTGTTGAAGAGCAACGATTTGTTCGATGTAATTTTTTAGCGCGAGATCACTGTATGTCTGTCCTGCTTGTGTGACCCTTTGTGACACGTCACTCAGAGGTGCTGCATCCTTGAACCGCAGTGCATCAGGGTAAATGATGCTGTGCCCTTGAAAAGGCCTGCATGATAATCCAAGATTAGTGTGTCTGTGTGTGTGTGTATGCAGAGAGGAAATGAGAGTGTGGGCTATTTGTGAGTATGAGTTTGAGTAAAAAGAGTTTGCGTTTGTGTGTGTTTTCATAGAATCTGTGTGTCAGTACGCAGCAAATCCGCACGTTTATTTGGGAACCGGTGAATGTTTGACAAAACTTCCATCAACCAGTGTTTTGTCAATTGATTAATCTCTTAATTGACTAACTGTCAGCAATAATTTGGAGGGAGTGAGTGCATGAAGTTTGTGTGTGTGTTTGCTGGTGCCCTTATGTGACTGTCTTGAAGTGGTTCTCTTGAAAACGAGGGTCAGTATTAGACACCAGCTCTCAGCTCTTTCATCTCCGTGTGACTGTCTGATATTTTCAGCCTCTGAGTCTAAATACTTTCTTCTCTCTTTCATAGAGGCAGTGGTTCATTTGTATGCAAGCATCCTCTGTAAACAGAAACTCTGTCTTGAGTCGGAGAGTCTGTAACTGTTTTTCACCAGGGCATCTGAGCGTGTTAAAGATATTTAAATAATAATGCGCTGCATCTAATGTTAAAGTAACACACACAGTTTTGTGAAGTGTCTGATACGTGTTTAACATGTTTAATGTGCCTGTTATTTTAGGTTAGTTATTGTTAGGATTTTTTATAGTTCACCCATTTACAAATTAAGGTTATTGCTCTTTATATTACTTTACTAATAGAGTGGAAGTTTGATTGGTATTTGGTGCAGTGGGTGTTTTCTGTTTCTTATCAACATGCTACGGTTCTCTCCTTTTAAGACAAAAATATTAACACCCAGTATTATGTTTTGTTGACACCTAGTTGGTCCGTTGTTTCCCGGTCAAATTCCAAAATGAGACAACAGCTGTTTTGAAAATGTTGTGTCTTTCCTGGATTGCTTGAATCATAGTGTCATTTACCATCGGGCTTACTTCTTATTTGATATCTTATAGTAATGCACCGATTTATCAGCCAATGCCAGTGACATATCTACACAAAAGATGACATTCACAGATGGCGGTGTCCGATTTTTATCTGTTTTGTTGCATCAGTGTTGTGCTGGCTAAATGTTGTGATGGTTTTTTTGTGGTCACTGCGGCTGTTCCAGCTCCGCATCTCACATCCTGGATGAGAGGACAAATGAAATGAGCTGCAACGAGGCAGAGAAGTTTTTTCTTCAGTAGTTGTACTTTAAACAGGTATATGGCTCGGCAGTGATGCTTGCCAGGGGCCAGTTGAGTTTGTGTTGGGTAGGTGAATGCCTCATGCAGTTGTTCGATCAGGCAAATGAAATATAAATGTGATGTCTCATCTAACTGAAAACAACCTGCGCACTGTATCGCTGAAGTAGAGCTGTCCTGCTGAGCTGCAGCCAGTCTGTCTCACCACCAGGCACTGATGAGAAAAATCTAACACACTTGAAACTTAGAAGAAAGAACATTACTGATCTGGAATGTTGCATGAGAGAGACTTACTATACTTTTGGGTTTTTTTAGCCCAGAAGCTAACCGTTGTCTGGTGCAATCATATCCCTTTCAGAGGCTCTGTAATCCAGCCTTCAACTTTGATGTCTTTTTGGAGACTTTATAAAACAAATCAATAATGATAAATCCAAAACTGAATGTCTTCTGTGATTATGTTTCCATTTTTCCATGTTGAAAACATCTGTTGTTGTTAGCCATCAATTAGCCGACATTGACATCTTGGGTAGAGTCTGTTGACCTATAAGAGTTCATGTGTCAATCTGTGTTGCAGCTCTGATCTCAAATGCAGTGTAGAATGGAATAACGAGTGACCATCTTGTTTTTGGCTTAAAATGTTCCTCCAAACACCTCAAACTGGCCAAGGGGCAATGTTTTAAGTTAGAATTGGCCAAGCCATGTGATGCTATCTGTTAATTATATGTTAATCAATCTTCTTAATTTTCCAATTCCCAGTTGTTTTTATTTATTTATTTTTTAATAATATTTTATACATTTTCGATTTCTGACAAGTAAGTTTGGCTGTCAGCAAGTAAAATGCTTAATGTCAAGCCCTGTAGATGTATGACAGGCCAAAGAGTCCTTTGACGCAGTTATTTTAAATGTTATCAAAGTTATATTAAGGGTTGTTTCATGAATGCGTTTGATTGAATCAGTGAATCAATTCATCAATAATTTTTTTGTCACATGCAATTATACGAGGTGCAGCTCCAATGAAATGTGATCCCATCAGCTCCTTTAAGCTCTGTAAATTAGTTTTTTTGGCTGATGGCTGCTGCTTGATAATTGTCCATGTCTCTGGATGGTTCAGGTAATCTTTGGTTTTTGGTTGTGGAAGGATTTAACAGTCCACACATCCTGACCTCAAGTCAGCCATAAGGTCACTCTGCCCAAACACACCAGCATCACTTTGCAGTCACCTCTGAACGGCGTATAGCAGTGATCAGCAGGAACAGGACAGCATCTCATAGTAAAGCACATACCTCCTCTATTGCTCTTGCCAGAGTCCTTTGCGCTATCGGATTAGTATACAGAAAAAGAGTCACCTGGTTGAATGCTGCTGTTCAGGCTTAAGTCAAGTTTCTGCGAATCAGAGGATATCACAGATCTTGATATCCTGTTGGAAACTGATGTGGCACTGAGGTCATCAGTTTATTTTTTAAAGCCTGTACAATGGCTAGAAGGATGTTCGTTAGTGCATCTGTAATATACATAATTGATGGTAAAATTCGTTGTATTTTTTAAGTCCTGTAGTCTTTGAAACCAGAGTTCTTCCTTAAGGGCTAAATAGTTGTAACAAGAACTCTTTCCATTTGAAGAACCCTTCTTGAAAATATGTTTTTCCAAGATGAAAGAACAGGACTGAGAGAAGAATAAAAGAAAATCAGTATTCTTTAAAAGCCTCTAAGGGCTCGTCAGACATTGTATTAATCTGTGTGTCTCCTTCTCTTTCAGGTGGTAGGGATGAGCAGGAGGGTCTGGCAGCCGTCAGAAGGATCTGTGAAGAGTACAAAGAGGCCAAAGGTAATGATGCATCTCTGAGAACACGAACACATACACACACAGATATGCTTGTGCACATGTGTATGCGTTTTGTATGCCAGTGTTGTAAGATAAAGGGCAAACTTGCAGCAGTGTGTCCCTCAGGCTTGTTTGTACAGTTTTTACTAGGCACACGCACATAATTGGACACTTGCAGGTATACATTCACGCAGAGACACACAGCGCTTCCATGCTGGCTTTGCAATGTCAGGAGTGTTGTTGCCGCACTGCGAGGAAGGGGAGGATACGGGGGAAAGGCTACGAGAAGACGATGAGGGGAGATAAGTCAAGCGAAATGTGAGAGACGCACACGGAAGGAGGCAGAGGCGTGGAGGAGAACATGACAAATGGGCAAATGTAGGAAAATAAAAGGGTGAAAAGAAAGATGCGGTGGAGGGAAAATGGAGGTGCAGAGGAGGTGATAGAGATGAGAGGAGACAAACGATAACAGCGAAGAGATTTATTACTCCATTGACTAACGTTTACAGTGTTCTCTGTAACTCCCATGTTGAGAAATTGATTCGGCTGACCTTCACCGCACCATAAATTCCACCATAGTCTCATGACTAATGAAACTCATAAGTTATTCCTTTCTGTATACGGCCTTGGGTCTTTATCACTGTGCAAGACTTGTCTGGGTATTTACCTCAAGGAATGTTAAAAGATTTGTACCAGTACTAAAGTCAGTGATGATTTAATTAATGTTTTTAAAGACAAACACAAATTTGAGTTCTTTTCACTTAATATTTTATCATACTATAATATTAAAACACACCAATTTTTCCAGTTTTTAAAAGAGTATACAATTGTGGTCAGACATATTTGTACAAACCTCGAGCCTCAGTTGCCTACGATGTCCTGCTTACACATGCAGACTCAAAAGCCAGGAGAGTGCTGGGCTGCTATACCTTGTGAATGGACCTGGCATTGCAGCCTGTTGAGCTACAGAGATTTAAAAGGCACCCAGCGGCACTACAGGGGAAACAAGAGAAAAGCTCAACTCATGCAAATATGCTTCAAACAGTAACCAGGCAAGAGCCAATTGCGCTCAGTCTGGAATGCTGTGTTACCTTTCATGGGTTCATTTTAGCAACACTTTTTCTTTTGCTCCCATTTTTCATGATTTGTAATAAAAGATCTATCCATCCTCCTGACAGGTGTGGCATATCACAGTGCTGATTCAACAGCATCATTACTACACAGGTGTGCCTTGGGCTGGTCACAATAAAAGGCCACTGTAAAATGTGCAGTTTTATCACACAACACAATGTCACAGATGTCGCAAGTTTTGAGGGAGTGTGCCACTGGCATGCTGACTGCAAGGCTGTCCACCAGAGCTGTTGCGATTAACTGAATGACCATTCACCACCCTAAGCCATCTCCAATGTTGTTTCTGAGAAATTGGCAGTACATCCAACCTGCCTCACATCCGCAGACCATGTACAACCATGCCAAGCCAGCATCTCCACATCCAGTTCCCTTACTTGCTGGAGATTCAGATTGTCTGAAAGCAGCTACCCGGGCGCTCATCTCAGTGGCTGGGGAAGAAACTTCATGTGGAGTTCCTGGGCTGGCTCACCGAACCGCTTGGATGTAGTGCCAAATTCTCAGGAACAATATTGGAGACGGCTTATGGTAGTGAAATAAACATTCAGTTCGTGGTTAATGGCTCCGGTTGACAGCATTGCAGTCAGCATACCAATGGCATGCTCCTCCAAAATATGCAACATCTGTGACATTGTGGTGTGTGATAAAACGGCACATTTAAGAGTAGCGTTTTATTGTGACCATCCCAAGGCACGCCTGTGTAGTAATGATGCTGTTTAATCACCATCTTGATAAGTCACTCCTGTCAGAGTTCTCTGCCTGAGGATATTAGGCTTGCTAGCACTTTGTAACCTTGTTTAGATAAGTGCTATACAAATAAAGTTATTACCATTATTATTATGTTGGCAGAGTGTTCACTAACACAGATTCAAACAAATTTATGTACAACATTTGAGAGAAATCATTTTTGTCAGTGTAGTAAAAGTCTCAGATGTCAGCTCATGTAAAATGGGAGCTACAACAAAAGTGTTGTGTTTATGTTTTGTTCGGTGCACCTGAGCTGGTTTAAACCAGTACAGTAGTTTGTTCACAACTGTCAATATTTCATGATAGCCAGATGGTGCAGTGTTTGAAATCTGAGACAAACAGTGGGGGGTTAAAACCTCACCTGTGTTTGGAGACCGGTTAGTGTACACACACACACACACACACACACACACACACAAACTTGACCATGTTTCTCTGATCTCTGCCTGTTGGGCTGTTGAAAATAAAGTAATTATCACAGTGAAAGCACAGATATTTCCTCAGTTAAAAACTGCCCCAACATCATCAGTCAGTGCAAAAATATTAATGCTCACTGCAGAACATTAATATAGGTGGCACTGTCACTGCAGAAAAATGAACGTATACTGAATTTCTTCTTATTCTGAGGTCAAAACAAATACCAAAGATATGTATTTAAACCTTTTTCTCAATTCTGTGCAAATTGGCCATGTTCTTAGCTTACAGAATGATAAAAACCCTGCACATTACGTTAATTAAAAGACCAATTCTTACTGCCTATTTTCCATCCATTTCCATCACTTAGTTTTGGTGTGCCTTTTATTTCTCCTCTCATAACTCACATTTTCTTTCTCTTGTAATTGAACATGAGTCAAATATTATATCACTAGAGAAAGGAAGGTTCATTAATTGACCCTTCAAATTTTGCTTTGCTAAATTAGAAACTGGGAAAAAGTAACATCCTGACCAACCTGGTGATTACAGCTAATTTCATTTGTACAAAAGCAAACAGGGTTTTTTAACGCTAATTCATTACTAGATCATTTTAAAAGATAAATTTACCACTGGAGATTTTCCAGTCAATTTACTGAATACATGTCTTTGAAGTCAAACTTGAGTAAGTGAAACGCTGATCGTCAGATAATAGCACACCCACTGTAACTGTGTCAGTTAGTACTTAACAAGTTGTCGCTGGTGGAGCTGGCTACAGGTAATGTATGGTACTGAATGAAGTGCTGCCTTTTGGGAAGCAAGCTGTAGTTTGTCTTGTGGTGGAGAGCAGCAGAAAGCCGGCTGGCTGGGTCCCTGCCTGTGTGTAAGTGGCTGTCAGGTACAGAGACAGCGGCCATGTAGCTGGTGTCATTGAAGTCGATTTCCCTGGACGGGGCCGTGGTGGAATTGATTACTTCTTTTGTAATTGGCAGGCACTGAGGCATAGGGGACAAGGGGGGTGTCTGTAGCCAGATGCTTGTGCACTGAATGAGAATGTGTTAATGTGTGTGAGTGTGTGTGTGTGTGCATGTGTGTGTGTTTGTGTGTGTTTGAATGAGACGGTAATGGATTCTCATTAGTATGTGAGGCAGGAGCTTTAAACATCTCTGTCCAAACGCCCTTTGGCATCCTTCCTAGTGTTTGCACATTTGTCTGTTATAAGAAATGGGAGACAGCTCATAATAAACACGCAGGCTGCAGAGGTGGTGCTAAAACTAAAGAGACCTGTAGACAATTGCAGAGGTCCTTTAGGGGATTTCAAGGTGTCACCAGTGACAAAGAATTTAATTTCACTAGAAAGCATTTTGACGTGTTTTTGTAGAATATAAAAGATTGCGTTCATTGGGGTCACTTTGAAAACTAATACAAGAAAATTCCAGTATTTATTAAACTGGGTCTTATTCTCATAATTCTGACTAATCAGACTGGGCGTGCTAATTATGAACTTGCCACCTCCATTGTAAAGGTTCAGGGATTGCAACAGTGGCGAGACAACTTATATTGAGGCAAGGCTCTGAAAGGTTTGTAAAAAAGAAATTCAATTTGACATAAATCATTTTTAACACTTACCTCTAAGCCTGGAAAGTAATCACTGAAATAACCCCTCTGAACTAGCTACTGTAGCTAACTACATAGGGGTCTACTTCTAGGGCAACTTGCTGACAAACAAAACCAGCTGCCTATTCATCTGTACATGTAAGTATGTTTGAATCTATTTGGGGAAGTGTGCTTATTCACCCTTCTTGCCAAGGCTTACCAAGATTGATGCCACTCTTATATTTGTCTAGTAAGCTTAACTTGGTCTTGTCATCTCTCTAAAAGTGCCAGGCGATCAGCAATGACTTTAGGAAGTCACTGCTATTAGGTACACCTGTTCAACTGCTTGTTAACGCAAGTAGCTAAGTAGCCAATCATGTAGCAGCCACTCAGTGCATTTAGGCATGTAGAGATGGTCAAGACAACCTGCTGAAGTTTAAAACAAGCATCAGACCATCTCTGAACGAACAACATGTCGAACCTTGAAGCCGATGGGCAGCAGAAGACCACACTTGGTGCCACTCCTGTCAGCTAAGAACAGGAAACTGCGGCTACAGTTCCTACCGGCTCACCAAAATTGGACAATAGAAGATTGGAAAAATGTTGCCTGGTCTGATGACTCTTGATTTCTGCTGCGACATTCAGATGGTAGGGTCAGAATTTGGCATGAACAACATGAAAGCATGGATCCATCCTGCCTTGTATTAATGGTTCAGGCTGTTGGTGGTGGTGTAATTGTGTGGGGGATATTTTCTTGGCACACTTTTGGCCCCTTAGTACCAATTGAGCATGCCCTAGGTTGCCCTATCTACTAGAATCTATCCCTGAACATACAATATTAGCTGTAGTATGTATCTAAGACACAGTAGGTGTGATTTAGATAAGATTTCATTCCAAATGTACACATAATTATACTTAAGATATAATTCAAATTACAGTAAAAATCATGTCCAAGAACCTTTCACCTTGCAGTATACAGGCATTTGTGTTTTACAATTCTTGGCATATGTATGTATGCATATACTGCATGTGTTTTTATAGTTAAATGTATTGAGGTGTTTTTCATCCCATTTAGTGCCATGTTGTTTTGTATTGCCTGGGGTAACAAAGGTAATATCCCT